TATATGTGCAAATTATGGTGTTGATATGTTCTTCAGTGATCTATACGAATAGGTTTGGCCTTTTTATGTAGGCTGAAGAAGTGCTCTTTTTTCCTCCTGTTGTGAAAGTATGTTCATACAAGTTTCATTATATTTTGTGGAAAATATTTCTTGCAAAAATTCCCTAGTTTATGTCAGATTTCTTTGCTCTCGCTCATCATGTCTGCTTCGCTCCATCCGCAGCCTTTTTTCCCGTCTCGCGCCAGTGTGGCGGATCTCGAGCTCCCGCCAACGCGATTTCAAAGAAAAACCGTTAGATGTTTACAGGTCAGTCATATTAGGCGACTAAGAAAATCATATATTGTTTCTAAAAAGGAAAGAAAAGAAAGCAACGGAAAAGAATAAAGCACATTCATCTTAAAAAAATCGACTGAAGGCCAGAGGTAGGCTATGGTATATTTTTTTTATAAGTCTTTCTTTACAAGGAACACATTGTTGGTGTTATGTAAAATATGTAGGCACTTTTGAGACACAACTAAGCCTGTTTTCTTATATTAGTCAATTACGGTCTTGGCATTGGCTATAATAAAGGGCAACCACACAAACTAAAACGTTTAAAAATGATTAATACCAGCCTACTGTTGGTAATGTTAGACATTTGATGAGCCCCCAGAAACAAAAGAATCCCAAAACGTCAGAGTAGAAATTTGATAAAATTCATAAATGTGGTAAGACTGAACTTTTATGGGATTCGTGTGTACTGTGGTGTAATATATGGCCTAGTAACAGGTCATTTAAGCACGGATTTTGGATAATAATGTGTGAGAGTGCGTGTTGCCGATTTTTCTTTTCACAATCTCAGCCTTTTTCTCTCTTTCTCTGGAAGAAGTAGGCCTTGCTACTATACAGAAACAAAAACACACAAGCAGTAGGCTATACGCAGCAGAGTGAGACAGCCTTTCGTAGAAATCTCGCTTTTTTTGCCCGTCTCTCTCAAACTTTTTTTTATCTTCCTCTAGCGCTCTCCTTTCTTTCTTGCGTAAAACAAAGGTCGCTGTTTAGAGAGGAGAGTGTCATACAAAGATAAGATAGGCTGTGGTATAAAAGAGGTTGAATAAGGACATTCGGCAGTGAACAGATCCAGCAAGCTTGCAGGGAACATTAGCAAGCGCTGTTTTATATGCCGTTTATGGCTTGCATACTAATTTAATCTCATGATAACAACGCAGAGTTCATGCTGTCATAAAGTTCGCTTCATCCAAAATTATGTCAGATTTGCCGCAATCATTCAACCAGTAATTCAAGCAAGAACAATGAACTTGTTACTGACACTTTTTCCCCTCAGGTCATTTAACATAGACACTTTCAAACTCTTTGTTTGCAGACATGGAAATTATTTGCTTGAAAATAAACGTGTCAGACACAAAATCCATGTAGTCTGTCAAACCAAATCAGATTCGAACTGTAACAACATGCAGAATGATTGCAGTTTTGCCTACAAAATGTAGGCAAAACAAAATACCAAGACACTTTGCTTTGTACACAGTCAACTGATATGAATTGTGTAGAACTTTCCTTTAATTTGGATTGGAATTATGCAAAGTGAATTGCAAGCCAGTAAAACATTCACAAACAAAATGACACACCAACCTGAAGCTCGGCTTTGTTTGTTAGGAAACGCTGCATTTACATAGCAGGCGCCTACTGGGTTGCTTTGAGAATGAAGCTGCTTCACCCGGTGGTCTCGGATAGGCCTGCTGGTCGCCCTAAGGTGTCGCGTAGCCCTGAGAGAGTGGCATATGTTGCGTAAACTCATTGTAGGGATTAAACCAGATTAAATCACTTGATACGAATCTGCTCAAGCTAGCGATTTCCCTGGCTCTGTGTATGGATCATAACGGATCATTGCAAACAGGGATTGACTGAATTCCTATAATATGTGGAATATAGTTTGGTACAGGATTGCATTGAATGTTTTGTGTGCTACGGCTCGGGGCCAGTGTGAGAGAGTTTCAGGCCGGTTCATGAAACTGTGACCAATGCTGTGTTGTCATTACATCTGGTGTTCGTTGATAATGTAGCTACATGTGCTGTTGCAAACTTTAACATTTGGGTTTCAGTGATGTATTGAACATGGGTTTTGCCAATCCTGCTGATTTAAATATTTGAACATGATAGCTGGCTAACTTATATGAGGATGTTGAAATTGTGAGATTGATTTGCACTAGTCTTGGATGCATCAGTTAGAATGAATTCAAAAGAGTTAATAAATCACAGTATGTCAGTGTTTTCCTGTAAAAGTATGTTTATAAACTTGAATCTGGCATGGAGTTCCTTATAGCTGTATAATTTCTAGATTTCTAGAATTTTATTGCAAATTAATCTATTATTATTATTATTGGTAAAGAATACTTAATATTATATTATTATATTATTTTTTTGTGAACAATACTTAATACTAAACGAAAAATATAAATATTTCTTTAATACAATTTTACATTTTTGCTGGTTGGACTTACTGTTAAAAATACTGGCAAGACAAGTTAGTTAATAGTTGTAAGTTAATTGTTGAGTCCTGCTATAATCAGTTGTCACTTTAATCAGTCTGAATAAGCTCTTTGCACTACAATCATTATATCTGCACTGTTTGTTTACTTCACTGGTTTGCACTCTATCTGCCATGTGCCCTGTGCTGCTTTATTTATTTTTTTACATGACCTTATTTGTATATTTGTATAGTTGTATTTTATATTTAATCTGTATCTATCTGTATTTATGTTCTACTGTTAGTGTTATCTGTATGCACCAAGGGTCTGAGAGTAACTCAATTTCAATTCTCTGTATGTATGTGCTGTACATGTGGAAGAATTGACAATAAAGCAGACTTGACTTGACTTGACTATAGCGTTGCTGTTTTGTAAAAAGCATTATAAGGAGAATAGTTTAGTTAAGGAAACAACTATTAAAATACTTCCTTATAAAAGCATTTTAATGTGAAGTACTTTTTTGTTCTTTAAAAAAAATCTCTTTTTATTGTGTCGAAACTGACGTGGTCACATTCTCAGATAAAGTTCAGAGCGAGAATGTTGTTCTGCTGTGGACTACGTCTTTCTCTTTGCTTTGTTTGTGCGCCGATTCTAAAGGCAGCTGCTGGTCTGTAGCGTCTGCTGGGAGTTCTGGCCCGCGCGTTCACACGCCGCTCAATGGAGGGAGGGGACGGGGCAAATGGGGACACTGCTGTGCGCTCGCTCGATGGAGGTGATGGCAAGTGCATTGGTGAAAATGGCAAAAGTGCGTGTGTGCATCTGAGCTCGCTTCTTGAAGACAAGAGGGGGAAAATGGAGGTAAATTGGGCTGGGAATGGAATACGGCTGATTGGCGCATGTAAAATTAATGTGCTCTGGACTTTGCAGTTGCACAAGATAGGAACTTGTTAATTTGGCAAAGTAAGGAGCCAACCCACTGACCGAACCCTACACTATCTCCCCCCTCGCTCTCTCGCTCCATCTCTTTCACCCTCCCTCCGTCCCTGCCTCCCTCCCATTCAACCCTTCAAGCGTGCGTATTGGTTGAGCGATCGGGCACCCGGTGCCAAATAGGTGGGCTCAGCTTCGCGCTGGCACACTCTGAGGCAATGGATAGGAAAAGAGCATGGAGAGGACGAGAGAGATAGAGTTGGAGAGGAAAAAGGGGAAAAAAAGAAGCTTCTATCGGGTTTGCCAGCGGTCGTACGCGCTCTTCCAACATTGATTCGGTTCTCTCGTTTTTTTTTTTGCGCTCTCCATTCGCTCCTCTCTACCCCCCTCGCTGTCTCTCTCTCTTTCTCTCTGTCTATCTCCCATTCTCTGTCTATCTCTCGCTCTCTGTGTGTCGAATGCAGAGCACGCATATCTGAACAAACACCACTTACTGCTTTGCCAAACATTTTTTCTCTTTGTTGCGGTATTTGTGTATTTATTTGTGTATGTTTTTTCTCTAACAGTGAGTAATACTTTTTGATTGAGCGATTTCATTGTCCACTTTCTTGTGTTCATATGTAATATTTAATTTTTGGTTTTGGTGGCTGGCAAAATACCCATTTTTTTTTCCAGAACTTTTTTTTTTTCTCTCATTTCCCCTGTTTTGTGTTAAACATTTCTCTCTTGCATTTCTTGTTTTTGTATCTCCAGAGCTGTCACTGTTTGGCTTCTCCAAGGTTTTCATAATTTTTGTTCTCTCCTCTTCGACTGGACATTTTTACAAAATGTTAACTTTTTGAATTTTTTTCGGTTTTTTATTTATTTATTTTTTTTACTTTTGCAACAACATTAAAAACTCTGATATTGTGCACTAAATAATCGGGGCATGTAATGTCAAGCTGAGTGTGAAGAAGACATTTCACTCATTTTTCCACTCCTTATCGGCCAGCAGGGTTTATGATGAAAGTGCAGAATGGTAACTACAGATGCTTTATTTAGTTGTTTTGCTGCATGTCTTGTGCGTTTTGTCTGTGGCGTGCTGCTTCTGTGTCTGCCGTGTGGCGATGTAGTTTGGATCAGGACGTGCGGTAGCAGGGGTTGGCACAAGCGACAGTGAGCAGCTGTTGTGGACTCTTTACGTCTGTCCCTCAAAAACATCATTGTCTGTTTTGAGCTGAGAAAAGGATCTTTTGAAACACAAAAATGTCAGTGTAAAAAAAATGCAGAAGAAAAACGTGAGGTTACTTAAAATTTCAGTGTGTTTTTGTTTTGTTTTTCATAATAGCATGTCTGTAGTTTTATTATATACTCTGGTTAAGAATTTTTGTTCTAAATTCTAAACTAGCATACCATTGTCTGTTATGTGATGCTTATGACAAATGTTGTGTGTGTGTGTGTGTGTGTGTGTGTGTGTCATCCTGGCAAACGCGCACTCGCACGTTTCCCATACTTTCCTTCACAAAGCGCCGCCGAATCATGCTCCGAGATTCTAACGTCTTCTCCCCTTCCCTTCTCTCCTCTTCCCTGCTTCCCGTCTCTCCCTCCCTCTCTCCATCCCTCCAGGATGAATTCCATCCCTTCATCGAGGCTCTCCTCCCGTACGTGCGGGCGTTCTCCTACACCTGGTTCAACCTGCAGGCCCGCAAGCGCAAGTACTTCAAAAAGCACGAGAAGCGCATGTCCAAGGACGAGGAGCGTGCCGTCAAAGACGAACTCCTGGGCGAGAAGCCCGAGATCAAGCAGAAGTGGGCGTCGCGGCTGCTGGCCAAATTGCGCAAGGACATCCGGCCGGAGTTCCGCGAAGACTTCGTGCTCACCATCACGGGGAAGAAGCCGCCGTGCTGCGTGCTCTCCAACCCTGACCAGAAGGGCAAGATCCGCCGCATCGACTGCCTGCGGCAAGCCGACAAGGTCTGGCGCCTGGACCTGGTGATGGTGATCCTGTTCAAGGGGAGCCCGCTGGAGAGCACGGACGGAGAGAGACTGATCAAGCCCCCGCAGTGCTCGAACCACACCCTGTGCGTGCAGCCGCACCACATCGGAGTGTCCGTCAAGGAGCTGGACCTGTACCTGGCCTACTTCATCCACATGCCAGGTCAGTGGGTTACGCTCTCTTTCTCTGTCCTACAGCTACTGATACTTGAACGTGATTATTTGAGAGGGGTCAGAACTCATGGTAAGATGACACCCACATAATCACCATCACATCCAGCACACTTATGAACACTTGCTTTGAGCGTCTGTTCTGCGGCCAGAGCCGAAATTACACCTTCAAACAGGTTTCCCACGGTCATGGAAGAAGTTAAAGTTGTGTTTGAAAACATTCAAAGTAATTTTAAAATATAGACAAATGTATATATTTAGTTTGCAATGTATTTGGCTGTGCTCTTATAGAACTGCATTCAAATCTCAGGATGATTTTGTGCATTTTGGAAGCATTTGTACAATAATAAGAACTACTTAAAGTTGTGATTTGCAGGCATAAAAAGTCATGCTTTTTAAAAATCATGTAAGTGTATGTATTTAACTTATAATCTCTTTGGTTATGCTCTGTATGGAAGAAATCCTATCCATCTGCATTCAACTCTCAGGATGATTCTGTGCTTTTTGGAAACACTTGTACAGTCACAAGGGCCGTTTTAAAGTTGTGATTTTTATGCATTAAAAAGTCAGAAAAATTGAAAGTAATTTTTAAAAAGCATGCAAATTTATGTAGTTCATTTATAATCTGTCTGGTCATGCTCTTTATAGAAGAAATCCTGTCCAACTGCATTCAAATCTGAATGATTTTGTGCCTTATGGAGACATTTGTACTCTGCAAGGTTGTAAAAATCTATTAATTCTAGAGATTAATAAACATAAATCCTTCCCAGAAATTTCAAAATACTCATTCAAAAATCGGAAACCCTGCTGAAATGTGAATAACTCTGATACATTTCTGCCATTGCTCATAGTATTTCATGAGGTATATTCATCATTTTTGTGATGTTTTATTGTTTATAATAAGATGCTTTCTTTTTGTTTTGTGACGGTGTTTAATATAAATGTTATGTTGGTTGTATTCACAAGAAAACACAAGACGGCTGGCCTTTTCAGTTTTTTGGTGCCATCTTGTTTTCTCATTGGCAGTGTGTTTTAGAGTCGTATCCTTTTGGAGCGAGTGTGTGTGTGTATTCATGGATAAGTTACTAGCACAGTCTCATACGTTTACTGCCAAACAGTGTTTCTGACACGGCTAACACTCTCTCTGACGCACACAAGATCTGACTGGCCAAACACACTCAGGCCAACAGAATTTCAAATCTGAAATTGCTTTCTTGCCTTTCTTTTTTGCTTTTGTGACTAATTCATTTTCATTTCGTGGTACTGCAAATAAACCACAATTATGGGGGAAAAAATTGCCATATTTTCAGTTAAAAAGAAAAAAAAAAGCCGTTAACAAAATATAAGCAGCTGAACAGTTTCCTGCCTGTCTTTCAGTCTCTCGGTCAGCGCACGCACTGGTTCACTATGTGCCCAGCAGGGTTGGCCATCGCGCTGCCCGTTCAGAATGTTTGCTGCTGTGCTGCGGTCTTACCTTATCAGGCTAATTCCAGTGTGTACTGCCGCTTTTATCAGGCTCCAAATAGCCTCGCCGGAGACTGGCACCCTGCAGGGCAGGCGCGCACAATCCCGGGGCCCTTGGCATCCTGTGCCAGAGCTCAGGGGGCCTTTCTCAACCCCAGACGCACACAGTCCCCATGTACTGCTCTGGTTAAGGGCATTCAGTATTTTTTTTAGCTGTTATTTTATTCTTGATTTCAGTTGTGCATTCCTAACTAACACCATAATTATCCTAATTTGAAATAGCCTGACAGTTCAAGTCAGGTATTTGTTGTGTGTGCCAAAAAATATCTCTGCATTCTTTGTCTTGAATTCTACAGCTCAGCTGTTTAATTTATTGGTTTGCTTTGTGTTTTTGTCCTTGCGATTGTTTATTTGCAGCACAAACTCTTTGTTTATCACTATTAAATGTGGCCTTCGTTGTCACACTCTATATTCCTCTTTTGTGTCCATAAGAAAGCGAGAGAGAACAAGAGAAAGACAGCTACGGGAGTCGCTACATTAATTGCTTTAGTTGGCACTATTGCAACGCAGTTGGTGCGGGAAGATGCGCGTGTGTGACTATGAGTGTGTATGTGCTCGGGCACTCATTTTCAGCTCTCTTTCTTGGGATTTTAAAACACAGAGATGTAACTGTTCACTTAAAAAAAAAAAAAAAATTCTTGATACTGCAGTGATGGGTAGCTGGAGAGTTCGCCTTTTTCGTATTAAATGCTTTCCATTTTAAATGCCTAGGAAATGGATCGCTAGAGTTTGAACCGATGCGCGAATCTTTAACCACTACCCTGTGCTTGACAGGTTTTTGGGATTTGACTCGAAAATGTTCCATACTTTGCTAAATTTAGACTTATTTCTGTCTTTGAATGAAGTGCGAAATTCATTTATGCAAGAACCTTAAGTAGTAATCCAGGTGTATTGGAGGTAAATGCGTGTTAAAGGTGTTTCCATTAAGAATGGTGATTTATGGGGCAAAGTCGTCCTAATAGATGGAAGTGGCTTTTGGGTAAAGAGAATATTAATTTTATATCCAGAGCTTTATTGTTAGTGCTGCTAATATATCATTATTATGAGAACATAATTTAAACTTTTCCCTACTTTAACACTCCACACAGGAAATGTAATATTTAGCCATTGAAGAGGTGTGAAAAATGTGCTTTCTGCCATTTTGTGCGTTTAACTTGCAGCTCTTTAGAAATAAAAATGCCTGTTAAATAAGAAAAATCTAAATAAAAAATCCATCCAGCTAATACATTTATTTTTTCTGCTAAATAATTTATTCAGTATACATGATGATTTTTAATTAAAAAAAAACGTATTAAACAGCAAATGATTAGTAATAAATTAACATTTTGTTATCTGTAAAAAAAAAAAAATGCTTGATTTAGTAATTATTACTATTTTCTAATTGTGCTTAATTTATTGTTATGAAAAAATGCCATTTTCTTGGACTTTAAGGCTTGAGCCGTTTCTGAAATGAGCACAAGCGTAAGAGCATGCAGTAGTGATTTCTCGATGGGCATTGTGGGAGTTTTGTTTGGAAATGAAATGTTTGGAATAGCTGTTAAACAGATTATTTCAGCAGTCGTCATTCACTTCGAGCCAGTGTACATAACGCGTCTCTCTTTCTTTTATCACTCTTTACGCTTCCAAGTGTCTCCTCTCTCTTTCTTTGTCACTCTTCCTGTCTTCCTGGCTCTTTCTGAAAATCTGATTGACTGTTGAAATGGAAGGAAAATTCACCTCCTTGGGTCATAGGTCAGATATTTTTTTTTTGTGTGTGTGGAGAATCTCCTCGCATCATTTTCTGTAATCCTACATTTGTCCTATATTTAGGACCGCGCTCTGCTCTGACTCACCTGGGCTTTGGGTTTATTGCTTAAATATGCCACAGCAGCGCTGTTAAGCTTCTGGCATTTCTTGACTATTTTAGTGATCTTTAAGCCTTTATATTTTATTCATTCCAAGAAAGATGTGAAGTGTAACCGTAGATCTGCGTGTAACTCTGGGTTTTACTTTCTCAGCTCCCTACTCACCACAGACATTTATGGGCTTTTTAAGAGCACAAAGGAAGGATTGTAAAAGTGAAACATGTTAACACAAACAAACCGGTATCAGCTCTACTGAATGCGCACCTGCTTTTAACTCCACATGAGGGACAGGCAGAGAAAGAAAAGTTAAAAAGAGAAAGAGTTTTCTGAGTTTTCTCTTCTCGGTAGCTGCATGCTCTTTCTTTAGTGTTTAAATTTTTTTTTTTGTATTAGTGTCAAACATAAAATCTGTGTATCTACATTGTGCTAAACAATATATTATTGAATATTTACAATTTATCTGAGACGATTTATTTATTTTTTTTTGTATTAGTGTCAAACATAAAATCTGTGTATCTACATTGTGCTAAACAATATATTATTGAATATTTACAATTTATCTGAGACGATTTTGCGTATGATATATTATTTATCAACTTTCTGAAATATCAGTCCTTTCGTATCCCACAACATGGAAATATGAGAGATCTATAACAGAGATTGTTTTTAATAGAGTTTTAGTAAGTTCCATTAATTTCTGTGAATCTGATTCAAATTTTCAAAATCAGAATCTAATATTTATTTGCATATTTATTTATTTATTTATTTATGCAGTCCTTTCATGCATTTCTCATGCATTAAAATGTTTGGTAACACTTTATTTTAAGGTGTCCTTACTTTTATAATAACAAATTATGCATAATTATGTGCAAGTAACCCTAAGCCAAACCCTAATCCTAACCTTAACCCTGTAGTAAGTACATGTAGTTCATTAATAATACTCAGTACTTAAATGTATAATTACACTGTAACAAGGACACCTTGAAATACCTTGGAAACACCTTGGTTGTAATACAAATGTATGAAGGTTAATGCTGTTTAACACATTGAATCATTATATTGCATATAATGCATATAAATAATTTTTTTATGTTATTAATTATCCAATATTATTTTACTATTTATTTTCTTATTTTAAACACGCGTTTAGAACATTTAGAACATTATTTTTTCAGAGTAAATCATATATATAATACACACATACTGTATATATATACACACACACACACACACAAACACATTTTCAAAACCATTTGAACATAATATATATTTTAGCTCTGAAAAATAATAATATTCTAAAAATAAAAATATTCTAAATGTTTTGAAAGTGTTTAATTAAAATAAGGAAATAAATTGTAAAATGACATTTCCTATTATTATCAGAAGGCTGATGTGTTTGTGTGCCTCGAGAGTAAGAGAGAGAGAGGGACAGTAATGTGGCCCACTCACACTGACTCTGGTTACGAGTCAGAGAACACAATGCCGAGCTCAGTAACAGCACAGACCTACTCATTACACACACACACGCAAATACAACGCAACAGCCGCGGAAAGTTGAGCCATAACTCCAGTCTATAGGAGTAGAAGTTCTGCATTAGTGCAGTTAGATTGAATTCTCATGGAG